ACGTAAAATAAGATACATTTGTCAAATAACATATGCCTAGTTTCAGAAAATCAAAAAAAAAAGTATGTCAGGATGTCTAGTCATCGTTACTGTCAATATAACATACTTAGAAATACTTAGAAAATAACATTTTGGTGACATTTGAATTGTTCATTTAGTCATTGTCCATTATTTTAATCCAAACTAATCTATGTAAATTAATTTTTAAGTAACAATAAAAACAATTTTTTTTTATATAATCAAGTTGCTATGCATATATAAAAGTCTGACAGTAAATAACTTCAATACTCAATTTAAAAGCTGTTATCACCTGACTGCGTAAAAATGTTTTAGCAGCTTATAAGCTATAGCGCCAAAATATTTCTTAGTTTGGAAAACACCACGATGAATCATGGATCTTTTGTCAAGCCCAGATCTAGACAGTATGCCATTAAAGGTGAGAGGAGGTGAAGGCAGAAGTAGTTGGAGAGGTTTTAGAAAGTCCTGAAGTTTATACCAGATAAATAGCTGTAACTAGGGGTTCGAGAAGAAGCCTAACCCTTTAAAGCCGGGCTCACTCATCAATTATTTTTCGGTTTATCAGCATTTAATGCGATGGAAATTAAATTTCCACCGTGATGTTATAAAATCGAGATCAGTTTTTTTTCTTCCTGCATCCACCGTACATGGATTGGATGTAGGGAAAACTGACAAAATCAAGCAATTTGGGACACCCTGTACATATATAATTAATTCTATTTTATTATTAGCCATATCTAGGAACAGGGGCGTTCTGGGCCGCCGGGACACCGGGAAAAATCCCGGTGGGCCGGTGGTCCGGAGGGCTAAGTGGGCCGGTGTGCCAGAGGGCTATGTAGGCAGCATGTGGTCAATTAAAAACTTTATTAGTTGAGTTATGTATAAATATCATAATTATTTTACACATGCATTGCGATTTTTCTGAATTTCCCGGGCCGGTCTGATATAGCCAGCACGCCCCTGTCTAGGAATAACATTAAAATAGTTTCAATTTTACTCTTAAAATACGTACTAAATATTAAATAATAGCATTAATAAATTAAATATTTAAAATAAATTTGCATGACATATCAATCAAAATTAAATTCAATTATTATCATGAAATGATCTTGGGCTTAAAAACAGATCAATACCTTTTAAATTTTAAAAGTTCAGATAGTGGGTTACTATCTTGTACAAACAATAAATGATTTATTACTTGTTTACCAATCAATCATATGGGATTAGGCATATTGATTTTTTATATAAGGTATATATATATATATATATATATATATATCTTGTCGTTAATACTGTTAAAACATTAAAAAAGGCATCTCGGCGTTAATAGTATATTATGTATTAAGTTTGATAAACGCCATTTAGATATATAATTTAGACACGAGCGAGCTTGCGAGTTTATAAACGAGTTGCATAATATACTATTTCTACGACAAATACTTATTATTACCTAAAATGATTTAAATTAAATATTTGTATAGAGTGACATCTATAAAACAATAAAGTTACAAACTTGTAAATCTTAAAATGTCAAATTTGTATGTGTAAATCGACATGTATTCCTTGAAAATGGACCATTTAAGCCGCGTAGTACTTTTCAAATTATCCCTAAAACAAATTATTTTATCAAAATTTTATAAGAGACAAAAAATTATTAAAACTCAATAATTACCTGAAAAAATATAGTTCGGAAGTCACTGGTGCAGGTACTAAAAAATATTTGACAATTGATTTTTGTTTTGTTTTTTTTTCCAAAAGAAGAAGAGAACTATTTATGTTGAAGCAATGTAATAAATTTGAACTCAATATTTTATAAAATACCCGAATTATTTAAAAAATCAGTTTTAAATTTCAAACTTTAAAGCCCTGTATATCAAACATTATGGTCTAAAATAAAAAATGATGTTATAAAAGTCACATTATTTTTGCTTTTGGTTAACGGATTGACCTTCCTTTTCCGGACACCCTGTATACATACAATGGTCCAGTTATCTGCTAAATTTCTTACTTGTAAGTAGTTTTAAGATATAATTGCCTTAAACATAACTTTAACTGAAAAAATCACCACTTACAACTATAGTCATCTAGTACGTATAAACGTAGCAATTAAAATTATCTACACCCATGCAGAAAGGCTGGTGTGTAGATATTAAATTACAATAATTAGATGCCAAGAATAAATAATGTTTATTTAATATGTTAATAGTTATGTGTAGCATAGGCAAGCATTACATTACCCACTGGGTAATACCCAGTATTGCAAATTGTTCACAACATATTGCAATTTGCAATATGTTGTGAACATTATGGGCCGGTTTTTCAATCGTTGGTTAAGTTTATCTTACGGTTAATGTCCTTAGATACTATTGTTAACACAATAGTATCTAAGAAAGTTAACCGTAAGATAAACTTAACCAACGATTGAATAACCGACCCTATGACCGGAGATTTAAACATCATTACTTTGTCAATAAAAAATCGCCTATTATATTTTTTGCACAAATAATGCCAATAAGAGTAATTCGTATATAAATAGTAATTATAAACAATATTTTTGTATGATCTTTGTTCGGTAAGGACCCGGTAATTTATAAATAATAAATGGGCTATATGGGCTTATGAGTCCCGGCATTTTTGGCGAATAAAATTATTTCAACACACTTTTTAAATCTTTCAAATAATACTATTTGTCCAATTCTTTAATTTCGATTTTAGCATCTTTATTAAAAATAAATTTTTACCTTAGTCACCTCTTCAAATTCAAAATTGTCGTTTTAGGGTCTTGATTTTATGTTCCAAACTGTCCTAATTATTTATTGATATTGTTTTTTTAAACTATTGATCATAATAACTTTTTTTCGATTTTTGCATTTTAGGTCGATTTAACCCCTATATTACGAACAAAGAAATAACGATTTATACATTTTTATAAAAACACCATAATACAAAGTCTATAATAAAGATTGTTAAGAAAGGTTTGGTAATGTGCCTAAAACATAATAAAACAAAAAAAAAACATTTTTCCTTTTATTTATTAAAAAAAATGTAATTTATTAGGTGGCCAATTAAGTTTTTAAAATTCGAAATTGTCTGTTATTGCATGCATCTATACAACTAAGTAAGGGAGAGGAAATTTTGTTTTGCTCTTGCAGATCATCGTCATAACCCCCTGTAAATTATATTTGGTAGTAGTTTATTAATCAATTAAAATATGTATAAAAACGAAGGTATGCTTTTAAATGATGACAGCATAATTTATTAATAAATTGTACATCTATTTAACGGGTATAAGGAAGCATTTTAGAACCTATATGCTTCTGAATTTATGCTTTTTCGGACACCCTTTTTAATAAAACATTAAAAAAGATAAAAAGACGTTTTAGCATTATTTTTTTTAAACTCTAAATAAACTCGTTATAATGTTGTTTGTTTAATTTGGTATTTAGCTTTTTCCAAACTTGCGTTTAACTACTTGGTATGAAACTTAATCTTCGAATTTGTTAAAAACACAATTAAATTTATAACGATATAAACCTTTTAAATTTAGTTTTAATTACATAAAAATTAAGGTCGGCTTATGTTTATTTCATGTTATAAAACTATAAAAATTAAATATTATAGTTGTTGGTAAAAAAAATTTAAAGCCTTGCTATATTAGCACCTAGTCTTTAATATATAGTGTTCTTTTATAATTTATTACTATATTTAAAAAACATATTACAAAACAAACTAATTTATCAAAATGTCAATTGACAAATAAAAAAGATAAAACAAACTAATTTGAGAAAATATGTTATATTACTTTGACAAATGAAAAGGACAAAACGAACAAATTTGTCATAATGCCAAAACATGAGATAAAAATTAGAGTACATCAATGCTAACGAGAATTTATTGAAATGGTTAGTAATAGTTTGCAGATTTAACAACTACAATTTTATTTAATTTTTTAAGTTGTGTTCTGGTTTAAAGGTGTGTTTTTATACCATGGTATGCATTTAGTTTAGGTATATGCTATTCTAAAATTCAATCAAACGGTTTTCGAAATTTTTGACAAAAACCAAGCTATTTGGGACATACATTTTAGGTTTGCATCGGTATGGCCGGGTACCAATCCGGTTTTAGCGGGTACCAATGAGTACCAGGCCGAGTAGTCCATAGAAGTAATAATACCCTGTACCCGCTGGTTTGAACTTTAGGTAAAACCCAGTACCCGGGATTATAAAAAACACTAGCCAGTGAATTCCTAATATATTTATATATTTTTAGATTTAAAATTAGCCCAAAAATTGCACATTAAAATAAGTACATACTGTATAAAGAAGTTGACGAACTTTTTACAACCTCTAATTCTCATATAAACGTACTTGTAAATATATACGTGAACGTATTTATTACCCTATATATTTTAATGAAGTGCTTGAAACGAATAAAATTGCTGTTACAGATGAGAACGACATAAATAGTAAAACATTTTGGAAGCATTGAAACGCTCTTTCAACAGATTTTAATGAGTATAAATAAATCGTGAAAAAGTGTGGATTAAATTTGCAAATCATCAAGTCACTTTAAAGACATAAAATAATAACTAAAAAGCCTCCTTAAATTTGTATGGGTATGGCGTGAAAGCTCGATGATGGATCACCATCAGTTGACCTTCTGCAGAAGTCTCCAATCTCTTGCATATGATGGATAACCTGTAGGTACACGTCACTGGGTCATTTATCATGAGACGTCCCTCTTATTTCGCCAACATTGTGTACACCAACCTGACAAGCCTGATAGATGACTGTCTTGTACCAAGTTAATTGAAACTAGGTGTGTTCTACGCATTATATACTAGCCACAGTAATTTAATCTAATGCTTAATTGGTGTTACATTAATATTTTAAGATTTTTGTTCACAAAACTTACCTTTAAATTTTAAGTTAATCAGAAATTTTTAAAAAATAAATAAAACTCTTTGATGTTCTAAATTTTTTTATTAAAGCATTATCATCGAATTAATTAAATTAAATTAATTAATCCCAACATAAATTAAGTCTATTTAAATCATCATTATTTCAGAAAACTTAATTAATAATGGAGATTTTATAATGAAAATAACAGATATTGGACAGTTTTAAATAACATAAATATATTTCCATTTACATTGCACTCTTAATCTTTTAGCTTGAAGAACATGTATATACAATTTATCACAGAAGGGCATATTGGACAGAATTAATATCCGTCAACATATTTACTATGGATGTGCTGCACCTAGGCGTTGTCCATACATAGAATAGGGTGAGTAATAGGCACCTAGTGCTGTAGGGTTGAAAGCACTGTATGGCGATGCTGCCAGAGACGTGGGTAAAGTTGGTTTACCATAAGGGTGATACCTGGAGGCGGATAAAGGACTTAAAGGTGGGTTTGGATATCCCTGTCTGTGGAGCGCCGATGCCGATGAAAAGAGAGGATGGGGAGTTAACAAGGAGGAAGCTGAAGAAGTGACAACGGAAGCAGTATCTGAACCACTAGTGTGAGTTCTTAAATGCTGCAAAAGCTCTTCGGAAGACAAAAACCTTTTGCCGCAGTAAGCATCACCAGCAATCCAGTTACAGATGTAAGGCCGCCCTAGATGAGGATAGGCTAAACTGGATGGCGGCACTGGTCCAGGTGGCACCATAGACATGGCCATAGCCAAATTATACTTTTGGTGGTCGCACTGAGTACAGCCCGATGGACAAGGCGTTGAAGCCCCGCTCATCAATAGCTGTTGATTTTGCATGCTAAACTGACACCCGGTGCAGTAAGGGTCTTTACACACTGGCACTAGAGCTTCTCCGCCGGATGGGGTTTTAACACGCGCGTAACTTAAGTACGGACCTGGAGCGGCACCTGGATATCCCGAAAGCATAGCTGCATGGTGATTTGAGAATGGTGCACCAGGGAATGGAGGTCTAAATGCTGGATTTGTGGTGTGTTCAAGTCCAGGAGGATAGCACAAAGAACTTAAATGCCCACTTAAACCACCTGATAAGCTTGATGGCAGAGCGCTAGGTTTGTATGTACCTAGAGGGGTGTCTTTTGGGTGCCCCTGTAGGATCTCCAATCCAGATCGGATAATCGGGCTAGCACCTCGTGCCGACGGCGTCGGCGATTTTTGTTCAAACGATGGCGATGCTTTGCCAATTTCAGAATTTGGGGTTGCACTACTGTTAGCTGGAGACACTGACTTTCTTTCTGGGGTAGATGATTGTTTTTTTTCTTCATTGTTGTTGTTATTTACACTGGACTTTGACGCTGGACGAGTTTCTTCAGACTTCTTGGATATAACATTGTTTTCATATGGTTTAAATGCCAGTTTAGTTTCCGACGGCGAATTTCTGTGAGATTTTTCGTTTTTATCGCGGCCAGATCCTGGGGAACTTCTAGATTCTAAAGCAGTTTTCTTGTTCTTTTCCAAAGGAGAAATTAGGGTTTTGGATGGAGGGCTATCGGCCCCAATTTGGCTGCATGTTTGAGCTAAAAGAGCTAAGGGACTCTTTTTAGCATCAAGCTGTAAATAAAATATAAAATTTAGATACAATTTTATAAAAATTATTAAAAACAGATTTTAAGAACTGTTACTTACAGTAGTTGGTAATGGAGATAAATAATCCGGTTGAAGATACTGGTTTCCTGCAGCAGACAACATTCCTCCACCTTCTAACACAACCATTTGTAAACTTGAACTGTATGTATAATAAACACGATAACTTTACACTGATAAACGCACGGGTTCTTTTCAACTCGACGTTCTACTTCGTTATGAGAGCTCGCAGTCAAAAGACCTCTCTAGAGGAATACGCACTAAATGCGCATGCGCGCTCCCTTCTATCGTTCCATCATTCTCTCTCGGTGGATATAGCCATAGCATGACAAAGCGCTAATACAGCCACGTTTCAGGGCTGTCGGCTTTTACCACCCATGAAGCTGGTGACAATGACGGAATCCCGAAGTCTTTTGAAGTCGCCGCCGTTAGAAGTAATCAGTAGCTGCTTGGGGATCACAAACGCCTGCTAGATGACGGGGTTTGGGCCTCGGCCAGTTTTATATTTATTTTATTGTATGTCCGCCTGTCATAACTTTTATAAACTTGTCTCTCTATTTTACCTGACGTTGCGTAGAGTTGGACTGGTGTTAATGGAGGCAAGTAACATATCCATAAAAAATTTAAGATTTTTACCATATGTAATATAAAAAGATGCATTTTTTTAACTAAGTCGAGGATTATCACAACTACTGCATCTTTCATAAAAGGCGTTAATACCTTAAAAGTTCCGATTTAAGGTAAAAATGTAATCCGCCGTAAAATACCTAAAAAAATAATCCTTACGTATATTTTATTGTGTGCTTTTAGTCACTCTTATTTGGCAATTGAAAAGATGTAACTATTGTTGTGTTCTTAAAAACAGATTTGGTTTTTCGTATAATCTCTACCTTTATTGCATTAACTGTTACTTTTATTTCGGGTCAAAAAGGCCGCCAATAATTGGATAGAAACTAAGCAAAAAACCGAATAAATAGTATAAATAATTCGCATGCACGTCAATGGACGTAGACTAAGTATCCTGATTTATTGGACGTTCTGCGACAGTGATGGAAATAGCGGCGTATAAACAATCAAAGGGTCCAAGTGCCGACGCGGCACCGTGCAAAAAACAAACAAAAGAAATTAAAATTGCTAAAATCGGTATTTTGGAGTTTGAATGCCATATAACAAAGTCAATGTCTATGGAATAACCTCAAAATTTGTTGTTTTTTTAAATTTGCCGATTTTAAGCTGTTTTGGCTTTATGCATTCGTATCATAATGAGGCAGTTTGCAGTATGTTTTCGATCGATAAAATCGACATTTGTAATCAAAACGACGTCCGATTGTCCAAATGTAAATAATATCGGCATTCCGAAAGCTGTTCAATAAGATTCCTTATTCTTAAACCAATGGAATGCGTAGGTAAACAGAATTTCGTACTGGGCATTAAAAAATCACCAAAACATTGTTTGATTTAGATACTATGTACTATAGTTTATAACAGCTGGATAAACCAATATTAAAACAATATTGGAACAAACAAAACCTCTATAAAATTTTAATGTAATTTTATTACAATATCCTGTATAAAAAACCGTTCAATTGAAAATACTTCAAGATCAAAGTATCCGCTCAAATAAAGATTTTTATTGTTGCTTTTTGTATCCTAACCAAACAATATTTATATTCTGACGGGATTATAAAGCATCGGAAGGCAATAAAAATATAAAAGAATAAAACTACAAGGAATATTTCGGATTTAGAAGACAAATTTACCGAATTTGATTCGGGAGCACGTTTACGAATTCATAAAAGGTTTGGTTATTTTGGATATTTAAGACACTAGCTGACGGGAAAATTATGTTACTTTTTTGCTCTAGGACCGTAATTAGAAGATACATTATAGATAAATGGGTTTTTACGTATTTATTGCATGAAACGATAATTTTACTTTTTTACTACTAACTTTATTTGACGTAAGAAATATATTTTTGGTGTATAAAATAAAAGGCATTTATTTAAACCTTCGTATTAAAAATGTTAAATTTAAACTAATTATACGTAATTAAATTTCATTAAATCTGCGTTTAAAACGACTTTGAATAACAAATAATTTTTTCAGAGATTTAAGTAGATATATATTTAATTTTAGACACGTTTTAAAATGTAAAGATTATATATATTTTTATAAATTTTTATATTTTATTAGTAACACAAGGATTAAATTAGAAAAACATCAAAAATTATGTTGTAATAATTTACAGATTTACAAGTCAGATTCTTTGATCTTTTCTAATATCTTAATGGGATTTTTATGTGAATTTTAAATTCAGCATCTTTTATATCGCTCGTAAATTATCGACTTTACGAGCCTTTTATAAATTAAGAAATGTTATATCCTTTTTAATCGTAACCAGTATAATTAATTTAAAAATAAATAACTTAAAGAAACCGACATTTTTCTGACAACATAAATTCTTCCTGTTTCGTATATTTTAGAATAATTAAGCATATCCCCACTTTCAGTATACAAAATTTTGATTAAAAGTTATGTTTCTTTGGGATAAATGACGATTAAAGATCAAAGCTTTATAAATCCAAATTTCCTTAAATTTATAGGCAACCATAGAATGAATCCAATTACAAACGTTCCTGGCGCCGCATTTAGCTTTGGAACAACTCCAAACGTTTCTGTCGGTGTAAATAAAACTTCAGCAAACATATTATTTAAATTGCCAACCCTATGTCTATAAATTAAAACAAAAAATTACAATGTTTATGTAATTATTCAATATATTTTAATGTAGAATATTTAAAATCAATCATAGAATCAATGAATGAATATATAAAATTGAGCCAGTTTTTACTTTTGACAAAATTTAATAATTTTACATATATGTATATAGTTATATATAGTTAATAAATATAATATAATATTTAAAATCAATCATAGAATCAATGAATGAATATATAAAATTGAGCCAGTTTTTACTTTTGACAAAATTTAATAATTTTACATATATGTATAATATACATTGTATATAGTTATTTATAGTTAATAAATATAATAATAATAGGGCTACTACAGGGATAAAAGAACCATAACTTTAAAAGTATAATAAGTGTATTTTTTAATCCAGATTCGTTTTTAAGATGGGGTATGTCATAAATTGTATGGTTTTCGGATTCTTAAATTTAAAAAGTAATTAGTTTAGGTATTATTTTAATCACAAAAAGGTGTTATTTGCCAGGGGATAATTATACGAAATACAAAAATCGTAAAGCAGTGTTATTTTGTAGACAACTTTTAAGGTAACAAAATTTTCCTCTGGATTGTTTTGTTTTGGATAAATAAATGAAATTTATTGTTAGTGCGGGTTTAAGTGGTGTAACTCCCTTTATTTAATATATATTATGCATATATACGTATACGTACTCTCTAAAAATGAAACAGTGGATTTTCACTGATTGACAGTGCATATTAGGGTGTGCCAAAAAAACTCGATATTTTTTTTTCTTGCTCTCCACCCAAAATATCGTAGAATATGTCCAAACAAATATTCTGTTAAAAGCGGAGCTCATAATTTCAATTTTAAGAGGTCCCTCATCGAATCTGATGTTTTGACGCTTAAATAGCACAGAAAACTGTCTTTTTTACCTTATTTATTCTTGCAACCTAGGAAGAAATTTTTTTTTCATAAAATCCATGACCAAATCTTACAAAGCATTAAATTTGGACGAAAAAATCTTATTAAGCCGAATTTCTATTTTCATTATTTGATTTTTTACAGAGCTTTAAATTTAAAATTTTACGTTTTTTGCCTTTTTCAGCTAAACTATTGAAGTTAGACGAAAAAGTTAAATGGCAATTTTTTAGCTTGTCTGACAAAAAAGTTTTAGGCGAATTTTTTGTATCGTCAATATTCTAAAAGTTACAGGCGTATAAAGTCATCATTTTTGTATTATTAACTTTAAATTTAAAGCTCTGGAAAAAATCAAATAATGAAAATAGAAATTCGGTTTAATAAGATTTTTTTGTCCAAATTTAATGCTTTGTAAGAATTAGTCATGGATTTTATGAAAAAAAAAATTCTTCCTAGGTTGCAAGAATAAATAAGGTATAAAAGTCAGTTTTCTGTGTTATTTAAGCGGCAAAACTTCAGATTCGATGAGGGACCTCTTAAAATTGAAATTATGAGCTCCGCTTTTAACAGAATATTTGTTTGGACATATTCTACGATATTTTGGGTGGAGAGCAAGAAAAAAAAATCGAGTTTTTTTGGCACACCCTAGTGCATATTTATTTGCCGCAGTGATAAGTATACCACTAGCAATTAGTGAATACTCACTTTTTCATGTAGCGATTTCTTTGCACTAATTTATTTAGTGGAAATTACACTGTACAAATTAATGAAATAGGTTTAGTTCAAAAAAGTTAAAATTTCACTATTTTATGTCGACAGATCCGGAAAAGTAGTGATAATAAAAAACACTAATTTGGAGAAGTTCAAATTTCACTAATTTATATTGAAAAACACTAATTTTACATTGAATAATAACTCACTGACGTAAATAGTGAAAATTTCACTGTTTCACTTTAAGAGAGTAATTATTTTATTGCATTATAAATTATATATAATTTAAAAATATATGTATAATATACAGAATACATTAGGGTAAAGTGGCCACATCAAAAATGTCAAAATCCGGGACAAAGTAAAAAAAAATCCGCCAAAAGCGGAAAAGTCTCATACCCAAATAGCATTTTCATTAGAGCTTCGCGACTCCCGACCAAATTTGTACCAGAACCAACGTCGGTCATTGTGCAAATCAAAGTTGTTTTCGAACTTCTAATATAAAGTTGCAAAAAGTCGTCCAGACGACGACTGCACAACGTCTGCGACTATAACACCTATAGAGTATTATAATCTGTCCACTGATGACGTCCGCGCAACGATTAAATATATGTAGGAAATATTACTGGAGTACGGCAACGATGGTCCGACGTTGGCTTCTTTCCCTCGAAGGCAACGTTGCGAAGTAGTGCAAATGGGACGTCGGACTGTAGGTCAAAAATGTGTTGTTTTGTTTATTTTTCTATGGTTAAAAGTGAGGTTATAGTTGCGTTGTTATTGCTGGGACATAAACCACCATTTAATATCAGTAACATTCTATCACCCTATCATATAGATACATATTTAGTTATTTTCAACTTCTTAAAATCATCTAAGTTAAA